GATGTGATAGGGGGCTACTGATGCAAAGGGTGACTCCGATGTGAAAGAGAAATGTTGATTTGAAGGAGGCATTTTGATGTGAAGGGGGAAACCCACTTTTTTGTGTGTTTTTGCCTGGGGGTCCCCCTTAAAATGTATTGCATTTTAGACTGAGTTTCCTCAGGATTCTGCATACCTTTAAAGGGTGCCGTGACTAAAAAAAGGTTGAGAAATGCTGGTTTAACCCCCTTCCTGTCCAGGCCATTTTTCAGTATTCAGCGCTGCAGTACTTTCACTGACATTTATTCAGCCATGCAACGCTGTACTGAAATGAATCTTATATACATTTTTGGGGACAGATAGAGCTTTCTTTTGGTGGTGTTTAATCACCACTGGATTTTTTAAAATATATTTACTATATAAAGAAAAAGTACTGAAAATGTTGGAAAAAAATATATAAAAGTTGGGGTCACATCGGGTAAATAGACACCAAACATGTCAAGCCTTAAAATTGTGTGCGTCCACAAAATCACAAAAAACTACCATACCCAAAATTAGCCATAGGCGACACTTTAAAAGCTTCTACCGCTCTACAGTTTAGTGTTATCAGTGATCGATGGCCTTAGAATTATTGCTTGCACTCCAACATTCACAGTGAACAGGTGCGGTGCAATGGGCGCAATCGTTGTATTTACATGTAGACACACCCAAAGCATGTTTGTGTTTCTATGTGCCCCCTATAGCAAATTTACAGTGAGAGGTCCTCTTTATGGAGACATTAGGGGTCTATAAGACCCCTAATGTCACTTAGGGACCCCCAAAGATGCTGATGAAGCAGAGATCTGCTTCACCAGCTTCTGTATGTCTACAGAAGCAAGAGAAATTACAGCTGAAGACGGAAGTGATGTAATACACATCACTTACACATTCAGAGATCGGAGGAGAGTTCAGCGATAAAGATGTGTGCTGATCTCCCTCCGATCTCCGCTCACAGTCCTGGGCCCACACTGGGCACGGCGGAGCCCAAGATAGGTCAGCGGCCAGGATAAAACTCTCACCCGCATTTAAGAAGCCACTGTCCGGCCGTTTAGCTACAATGGCTGGACGGAAAGTGGTTAAAGTGTATGTAAAGGCAAACCTTCTTTTATAACTTTAGAATCCAACATTTTTGAGCTGTCACCAAAGCAAGAGGTGAGAGGAAATTATCCAATTTTCTGGTGACAACATGGAAATTTTCCCTTCACTTTAGGGAGATTTCTCCTCATTTCCAAGATATAAGTAAAGGGAAATCTCTTCAGTGGGCTACAGACAGCAACAAATTTACATGTTTGGAGTTTTTACCCTTCCTTATTTTATCTACAGCTTAAAAAAAGTTTTGTCTATACGTGCACTTAGGATAAGGATAAGTGCACAAATTAGTAGACACTAGACAGTAACCTGTTATACATAATCTACAATTTAGGGTCAGGGCAGAAAGTGAAGGGAAATCTCCCCGATGGGACACAAATGGCAAAAAAAAAAAAAGAAAAAGAAATGTTTTTGAATTGTCACTGGAAGAGGAATACAGTGTAAAGTTGGGTATACATAAGTCTATTTCTTTAGTTTAATCTGCAGGCTGATAAAAAAAAATAGAATAGATTCCTTCATCAATAATTACTGCTGTCAAAAGACCCAAAATCAGCTGCAAGCTCCATCCATTCGTCTCCTTCGATCAGCTGATTAAGGGATGCTCAGTAGAAGAGTGGGCAGCACAGTGGCCAGCACTGGGGGCCCCTGGTTCGAATCCAGGCCAGGTCACTATCTGCAAGGAGTTTGCATGTTCTCCCTGTGCTTGCGTGGGTTTACTCCAGGTACTCCGGTTTCCTCCCACACTCCAAAGACATGCTGGGAGGTTAATTGGCTCCTCTCTAAATTGACCCTCCTATGTATGCATGCATGTAAGATAGAGACCTTAGATTGTAAGCTCCTTGTGGATAGAGACTGATGTGAATGTGCATGTAAATCTAAATTGTCGGTGCTCTATAAATACCTGTAATAAATAAACTTAAGTGCATTTTTCACTACAGCTTTGGGTTTGATAATAAGTTGCACTAATATCATGCAACAGAAAAATTTGCAACTGCCATTATTACATTCTACAGGGTCTTGGCTTTCAGAAAATATATAATGTTTGGGGGTTTGAAGTAATTTTCAGGCCTAAAATGTGGATAACATGTGTACAAAAAATGAAATAAAGGACTGGGTCCTTAATGGGTTAATGATTCTACCTATTGTGATCAGACATACAGCAATCTACTCTGTTGTACATAAGCAATCTTATTTATTTTTTTTAGGCGTAAAACAAGATTCGTAAAATCTGTGGTGGTAAAAACTTGCACATTCCACCAAAATGTCAGGTGTCATGAAATGTAAGTATCATTTTCAATATATATTAGGATTATTCTATGATTCCCTGAAAATGTCTCAATTTTTAAGTGTCTTAAAGCAAAACTTTGGGCAAAATTTTATTAACCCCTGCATTGGGGCTACCCCTGCATTGCAAGGGTTAACTGCTCGTTTTTGTCTAGGTGCTAAAAAAAAAAAAAGATATACTCTCCTGAACCACTGAGCCGGCTCCCTTCTTCTTCGGTCCCTGAAGCCTGTCTCCTCCTACACTGCATCATTGGAATGTCGCTCCGCATCCTCAAATCTATACACTCTGCATGGTCCCTGCTGCAAGGGTTAATAAAAGTTTTGCCTGCAGTTCTGCTTTAAGTCACCTTAAAATTTAGAAATTTTCAGGGAAAACCTCCTATTCTTACTAAGCAGAGTTGCTTAGGTCCCTTCCACATGGGCACTGTTTGTTCCAATTAGCAGGGGATCCATGTACAGATGATCGGAGTAGTATGTTTTTCTTCTATCGTGAGTTAAAAACTGAACTGAACAGACCGATCTTAGCTCTATGGGCTCTATGATATAAGCAGACGTGTCCATTTACAACCGATTACCTCCGATCCTTCAAGATCACATCTGGCTTTCTGGACCTAGACGGAGCTGGAGGCGATCGGATGTAAACAGACGCGTGTCCATTTACATCCGGCTGCCCATAGAGTTACACTGGGTTTCCGATCTACACCTATAATTGTATTTCCTCCTATCAGTGTCTCATCATATGTAATAAGAATGTGATCCGTGATGTGATTTTGATCATCTTCTGATCTGTTGTAGTGTTTGGGAAAGATGGTGATGATAAGGACAAGGACAAGGATAAGGATAAGGATAAGAACAAAGATAAGACACATGACAAAAAGGATAAAAAGGATAAGAAAAAGAAAGACAAGAAGGTAAGACTTTCATACTGGGCTTTTTATTGGCATGTTTCAAGATAACTTTCAATGGTATTTGGTAGATGTAATTATAATTTTGCAAGTTATCAGTTATAATCAGTCACCTAGATAATAGTTATTAAGTACTGTACATTAAAGCCTAACTGTGGGTACATTTTTACTAACAAAAAGATGGAGCTGAGGAGCATAGGAAATAATTATTTATTTCCCATGTCCCTCAGCTCCATCTAGTGGCCAAAATGTATTATTACAACAACAAAGTACATTTAAACTGGGAAACTCCATCTAGTGGCCACAATGTATTCTTACAACACGACATTCAAACTGGGTTAAATACATTTGTTTTTAAAGAACATTTGTTTTTGGCATTATTCACTCAAAATGAATGTTCACAGATATTCTCAGGGCGAAGGCCCTGCAAGTTTTTTTTATAAATAGACCCCTTAGTGTGATTCCGATTAGGACATTCTATGGATGCAGGACATCATGGGCCTTCACCCCTAGGACTTCACCATGGTGCCCTTTATTTACAGTGTAATGATGGAGAGAGCAGGAGCTTTCTCTGCATCAGTGAGGACCACCCAGTGTGTCATGTAGCCAACTTGTGGGAAATAAATATACACATTATCAATCAAAGCAAAAAGTATAGCATGTGGGTCCTCTGGGGAAGCAAAACCTAGAATTGGGCTTAAGGGCCCTGTCATACTAGCATCATAAACCCCCCCCAGTGACAGGATTGCTATACAGCATGAAATAGGGTAGAGAAATACTCGCTTCCATGTGAGGGCTAGACGCTAGAGTGGGGGTTCTAACCCCTTTACTACTCTGTCCAATACCAATAAAAACATTTTCTGGCTTGAGGCAGACTTTAAAGAACAGCACTGCCAGACAATTTCCCCTTTCCCCAACTTTAAATTGCAGATCATAGGTTAATCTCTACTAAAACATAAATATGTCTTGAAACAGTCATTCAGCTATAGATAAACTATTACCTGGTGGCGCTGAACTGCCGACATGAAAGATCCCATACATTGCCATGGGGACCGTTCATGCGACTGCTCGATCCGAACTGCTTGCCACCCGAAATGCTCCCTGACCCTTTTTTTCCGTGCTGATCAGCGCGGTTTCCATATAGATTTCAAAATTTGCGTGGAGATCGCCCTGGTGTGAACGGGGCCTCAGACCTCTGATTGGACAGAAGAGGAGCATCAAAACACTGATCACCTCTGCTTTATTTTTCTGTCTGTATGTCCCCTGTCAGCACATGTGCATACAGCAGAACCTGATTGGTTCCTAGTGCTGCCTCTCTTTTCCCAGTCTGCTGTGCAGGTGTCAGAGGCTGATATCAGGACAGGTTCAGGTACATATGCTAGTTCCATGTAACAATACATTTACTTGTTTTTAATACCTGCATCAAGTGGTGTTTTTCTTATTTCTGCCTGGAGTTCAGCTTTACCTTTTTTTTAATAGGTGGTTTTATGAAAGCTATAGCTGCCCTTTGATTAAGGTTTTCAAAGCTCCAGGTTTCATTGTAGTGTCTCCTGGCTGGTCAGGTCACCTAAATAGTACAATTGGAGAGCAGCAAAGGGTAGTGTGATAGAACAAGATCAGTTATCTGAATCTTATTCTTTTATGTGTATAATGATATCTGACTTATGTTTTTCTTTTTTCTTTCCAGGGTGGAGATAAATCAAACAGCAGTTCCAGCTCTGACAGCGACTCTGATGTAAGACTCTAATGTAGACAGTGATATGATATTGGTTTTGTCAAACACTGCTCGCAGTGCTGTCCATTCCATGACTACCTTATAGTTGGTCGTGCATTTTGTTGCTATTGCTTGTAAAACATCTCCTATTGAAGTTCCATGTAGTACAGTAATTATTCCAAACTCCCAAAAAGATTATTGAACAATCTGAATGGCAGAAAAGTTTATTTTATTCATGCAAACAGAAATACAAGCTCGTATGTGTTTCATACTGCTTCCCGCCCTTTCTAAAACTCTGAGAGTAGTGTAAAACATCTCCAGGAATTTTCAAAGTTACCCACATTGCAAGGGTTAACTGCTCATTTTGGTCCAGGAAGACCGGTCCCTGCAGCCTCTTTTCCCAGGCTCCGGAAGTCTAATTCTTGCTAACGTCATCATGTCTATGCAAGGTCCATTCACTTGCATTAGATTTGAGGACGCCAAGGGACATTCCACAGCCTGAGTGGAGGGAAAGGGAGGTGAGCGGTTACAGCTGCAGGATCAAGGATCAGGTGAGTGCATCTTCTTTATTCTGCTCTGTAGGCCAAAACAAGCAGTTTTGTGGGAGTTCCACTGCAAGGGTTAACTTTTAAAAATTTGTGGAGATGTTCTTTAAAGCACAATTATGCCATTGCTGGTACCCAGAGCACTTGCCAAAGGCTACCAAGGTGCCCTACTTTAGAGAGGTGAGGTCCAAAATACCCTTCATCACTCCCCATGCTGCCATCTTCCACTAGCCTTCTTCTTGGTCCAGGGTCTTCATTCTTTATCCAGCCTTTTCCACTGGCGGGCCGAGGATGATGTAACTCTCCGTGTATAGTTACTTTGTCCTGGCACAGGTGCCGGGATTGGAAACTGAGCTGCAAATGTGTGGTACTCAAGGTACAATTAGTAAAAAAAAACAAAACTGATATCAGGCACGAAAAGAAGGCTTATGGCAGGAGACACACAGAGTTTCTTCTATCATAACATTCTAACTGTTAGACTTTTATTGAAACTAGCGTTTAGGTCTGCTTTAAGAGCAAGTATTCTCATCGGCTGTACTAAAATAAAGATAGCGATCTGATATTCCAGTTTTGTGGTAATCTAAAGTTGGGAGTTTGGAATTGATGAGTCAACAAAATCAGTCGAATCAGCACCTAAAAGATGCAGAGGCGCTAATAGTGCAGCCTGACCTGGAGCGTAGTTGCTCTTGTATATTGAGGTTGTCAAAAGGGCTCAAAGGGCCTCTTTAAAATGCTTTGAAGTAAAAGCATTTCCTAAAACTAGAGGCTTTCACTTATCATTTGCTTAAAACAAAATAGCAATGCAAACCATGCCCTTCCGACTTCTATTTATACATAACAGATTTATATACCTGACAGCCTAGTAAATGAGTACTTTTTCAATCTTCAAATTTATATAT